ATAAAGCATGCTTTAAAATGGCAAATCTAGGATGCTGAGTTACAGTGTTCAGTGTCCTTCATTGTATCTGCTTAGGTACTTACTGGGCTAGTGTTAGTGTTAACGTTCTAACATAAAAAACTGATGCATGCTGAGGGGTTTAGCGTTACACAGATCTCTAGATCCCATTGTCTGCTGAATATTTGCTACTTAGTTGAAAGCATGTACCAGATGCCTCCAAAGCACAAATACAATTCTGTATTTTAGATAGTACAGAGCTGACCCTGTGACATTAAATTGCCCAAATCTGGTAGTCAAACATTCCAGGGAAAATATTCCAGCTGTGCAACCTTTCGTGAGTTTTCTGTTATTCTTTCAAGAAACTCGACTATGTAGCATCATATTCATAACTGTACCTCACTGTTTATATTTATTCATGTTGATATCTGAGCTCCGTTTAATTCCTACAACAAAATTATTTTATAATTTCCATTGTTTATCTCTCTGACAGACAGCTGCATGTTGTTAATACAAACCCTGAAGTCAAACTGTCCATGCGACTGTTGTTAGTTGTCTTGTGCCAGTGTGATGTCCGGCTCATAAATAATGTCCTTTTATGGCATTCCTCTTCACATTCTCACGATCTCCAGGCCTCTTACTCTTCTTCAGCTCTGTCATGAAGATGCTTTTCCTTAGGACAGCAGACAAGGCACTTTGCACTCTAGAAAGATATAATCAGAGAGTGTCAATACAGTGGCCGTGGTAAAACTTTACTGGGTAAATGTCCTGGGTTCATCAACAAAACATTGATGATAGAAAGTGCCCCATCTGAAAACCCCAAAGACATGTCAGCGTCCAAGCTCCTACCTCAAGACTCAAGCCTGTGGAGAGAAACGTTGAAGAGCTCACCATGTCTAGGGGACTGGGGGACTATACCAGCAAGTCCTATGTGTCAGAACGGTGGCATAATGCTTCCATTCCTCCAGGTGCTCTGGTGTCATCCCACAGTCCAAATAGATACTGGTAGGTTAATTAGCTTCTGAGAAAACTGACCCTGGTGTGAATGTGTGTGTCAGTCTGTGCCCGTGATGGACTGGCATCCTGTCCAGGGTGAACCCTGCTTGGTGCCTGTTGCTTGCCAGGATAGGACCTGGCTCCCCTGTAACCCTGTATCGGTTAGAACACAGTTAACACAGTTAGAAAACGGGTGGATAATAATTAGAGCTGTTGTCTTACAGCTACAGGGTTTGTCCTTTATTTCCAACTCAGGGAACAGCATCTTTCTGCGTGGAGTTTGCATGTTCTCACCAGGTTTGCACAGGTTTTTCCTGGGTGCCCCATCTGCCGAAGGCATCCATGCTTGGTTGGATCGGCAACTCGGAACCATCCCTTGAACCTCTGCTGGCAGCGGCTCCGTGAGGAATCAGACCCAGTAGCCCGTCGGAGCTTTACACAGTTCTCGGAATGAAAAGAATGCCTTTATTGTAATTGTCAGGGCGAAAGAAACTCTGCTGCAGAGAGAATGAAATAATTCAAACCACACAGCAAGAAGCCGCGGCAGGAAATAGTGACTGTAAGGAATAACATCAGATTGAGCTGAGCTGAAGAAATCATGCTTTTGACGAAACGGTCTGTTAGATATTTTCCCATCAGACTTCAAGGCTCTGCTTATTAAGCCACTGTTATGATTGTACACCTGCCAGATAGGGGCGGACCAATGATTGGAGTCCAGTTACTGAAGTTCCTGGAAAAGACAATGGGACTCCTGCCAGGAATGCTTCTTTGAAAGGGGGTGGGGCTTTGTGGGGAGAGGGGTCTGAAAGGACTGAAAAGTCAAACTGGGGGGGGGTTATTTTTAGATTTTTCATATGACCAGGAAATCACCCTAAACTTGTTGCAAGCATCAGCAAAGTTCTGCGTAAACACAGATGTTTAAAGAGGATCAATTGGATGAAAAACAATTTACAGGCTCTCAATGGGGAATTCTTACAGAATCGGGAAACGTGAAATTAAATATTCTAAGGTGGCAATTTTGGGCAAACACTAGGGTCTGCAGTTCAGTGGTTGACATCAGCCATGGTTATCACAAAATGGCCCTACAACAGTGTTCTCACAAACATGCAAGTGCAAGTCTACAGCCGTATGGTCCATGATAGCTGTTCCACAAAGGCCCCCCGCTGATCAGACAACTCTCTATCAATGCATCTCTGCACACTTAAGTCATTCGTAATCTTTGATGCTTGTGGACAAATGGTCAAGAAATACCAGTGGTGAGAGCAAAACACCTCTTCAACCAGTGTTTTAATTACAGAGTTAACTCCCATTAATCTCTATCCCATTCGAAAGACTGCAAGCTATGCAATATTTATATACCGTTCTCAATCTGCAATTATGATACCATGAGTATAATCAAATTAAAGAACAATCATTGTATTATAGGTGGGAGGAAAGCCTTTTGTCTGTATAAATTGTTCTAGTGTTTCGAGGTTCACATGAAAGCGAATTGGACAGACATCTCCTGCAGACGTGTCTCTCTATCAGTGGTTTCTCAGACTTTGACATTAAAATGCAAGCCAAATTCAGGGTCAGGGCTACAAACTATCTTTGGTGCCCAAGGCCTGTGGCATCATCAGAAAAGAAGTTTCACAGGTTCATTATGAAAAATCTCAAAATTAAAACAATATAAATGTGGGGTTTGAGCTATCTGAGAGCTCGCTGGCACTGAATCAGAGAAACATGCCTCTTGGAGTTAAGATTCTTTTGTACGGTGTGAAAGGATTTGGGGAAAAAAGCTTGTGGTGTTTATTGGAAAGGCACCGTGTGTCTTGTGTGATGCGACAGATATCCTGGTTTGCTCTGTGTACAATATTTTATGGTGGTGGTTTTTTGAACTACCAAAGGTTAATATGTTCTACTTTAAACTACTGTAAGCCTTACTCATAAAACTGTTTCCAGAGTACTAAGCACGTTTTTTTCTACAAAAAGGGTAACCAAACACTGTAGTTTCATATAAAACATCACAAAAAAGATCTCAGAATGCTATTTTCAAGAGCCCTTGAAGACACTCCAAACAATTCCTTTTGGTGCTATAAAATGACCTAGAGGAAATGTCATGAAAATAGCCCTCAGTCAGAGCCTAATATATCACTGTGCCTGCTGTCAGCTGTTTGCTGTCAGCAAAGAAGTTGGAGTTCTCCCAATTAGGAAGGTTTTTGGGGTGATTCTGTATGTGCATGGGTATATTCTGTATGACCATTGAATGTTGGTTACAAAATCTTAATGAGATCGTACTATTGCAGTGTAACTAAATCCTAATGTTCCGTTTGCCTTTTTCATTACTTCCTCACATTGTCTGGAAGTATCTAAGTCATATTCATAAACATTCAAGCTCAACGTTTCCCATTCGTATACAGTATGTATAGCTCATGTTTTGCCACACTTTGCAACAATCCCAGAATCAAATTAGGGATATAAATTAGGTAGAGCAGTGGTCAGAACACAGATACACTAATTACATCATCCTTATTGGAGCATTCACCCTTTATCGGTACTCGGTTTTCAACCGACTGAGCAGGGCTCAATCCAAACTCAAGCATTACTTTGAATATATACATTATATATTATGAATATATACTACAATCACATTGAGACAGTCAGTTACGGGGATGTTCATCAACAGCTGATCAATAAGAAATACATAATATACATTTTCCCAAAAAATTCTAACAAATTAGCT